GGAGAGAGAGGGGCCGAGAGTGGTGGGAGGGAGAGCGGGGAGTGAATGAGGGGTGCGGGGAGGAGAGGAAGAGTTAGGAAAGATGAAGGGGGCGGGTGGAAGATGATACACAAATAAATAAGTATCCACTGCACGGAACATAACCCTCAATCAACCCGACCCGCTGTGATCTGCAACATTTTGTTTTGATTCCACCATCAGCAGTAATCTTTTTTACGCCCCAGTCATAAACTGACGTGCAGCTCTGTCGGGGTGCGAGTGCTATAATTGAATGGAGGTAGGTTTTTAATTAAAAAAAACTAACGTATGCAGTGAGATGGCGGGGTGGCTGTGGAATGCAGGTAAAGCGGAGTGAGTAAGAAGTCCGGAGTGTTGGGTGGGTGGGAAGGAATGCACTAGCTTGACCTAAGAGCAGCGCTGCTCAATAGGTAAGTATCGCGAGAGCGGGCTCCCAGACGAGTCCTGCACTCACCAACAGTTGGCTGCGCGGCCACTAACATCTGGGCCGCCGCAGATGAAGGGGACCACACGGTGGCTGCGCAGACACTGGCCTCATGAGCGCTCGTCCCGGAGCCGACAGCTGCACCGCTCGCTCTGCCCAGGTAAGTGCAGCCACACCTGGGGGGTGGGGGATGATTCAGCACGCGCTCCGGGCCACGGCCACGCGCAGAGACAGCCCGGCGCCGCCGCCGCCGCTCCTCCTGTCCTACCCAGCTCCAAGTTTTTGTCCGTGCACCCGGGCGGGGGGCGGCTTTGCTTTGCTTTTTTTTTGTAAAGAGTTATGCAAGTACGTGTTGTTTCTTTTCCACCCTTCCTTTCCCCTTTCTCTCTCGCTCACCGGTTTATCACTACCGCCCCCCTAGGCCGAAGTATCAAGAGTTCACTCGCACTTTTGTAATTTTCCAGGACGTTTTAACTTGAGAAAGTTGTGTGCTCTTGTTTGCAAAACAACAAGGACGGCAGCGAACCAACACACAAAAAAAAATACACGGAGGAAAAGGGCTGGAGCAGGAGAAGGATGTAAAATTGGAACAACAGTGAACTCTCTTTGCTATCCCTCCCCCTCCGGTCGTTGGCTGCGAACTGGAGTTAAAGGAACATATGGCATTAAAGGAGCACAGCTGGAGGTAGCATTTCCATTGCCAGTGATGTCAGAGCAGCTGACTCTCCAGCTTGTTCCTGGAGTTAGTAAACCCAGTTTTCTCTCTCTCTCTCTCTCTTTCTGCTTCGAGGCCACTTTTCCTCAGAGTCCATTTCGGATTTCCAACCGATTTTATTCGGGTGGGTTTCGGTAAGGGGGGGTGGTGGTGGCGTTTGGAGAAAAGCTTTCAGGGTATTTGACGCTTTTGAGGGAAGAATGAACCAAAAGGGGGCGTGAGAATTTTTAGTTTTATTCAATTTGTCTGTGGTCAAGGTATTAACAGTAAACAGTTGCTTGCTCGCCATGCGAGTGATCACTGAATGAACGCTCTTTTGTCATGTTGAAGTGCCAAAGTTTGGTGATTACTCGGGAAACTTAATTGCTTTAAATGATCGTTACTTAATTTCTCTAATTGATAACATTTTCTCTGACAGCTGTCGCGTTTCAGATGCCATCTGCACGAACACTAGGTGCTCGTTACAAATCCGCGCAATCGTTATGTTTATTACTCTCTTCTGCAAATTTTAGACTGTCTTAAAGTATTAATGGCGCAGTTTCAATTGAATGCATTTCTTGTGTTGTAATTTCTGTTTCATTTTCGTGCTTTAGCAGGTTATGAAGGAAGAATGGAGTTTCCAGACCATAGCCGGCAGTTGCTGCAGTGCCTGAGTCAGCAGCGTCACCAGGGCTTTCTCTGTGATTGTACTGTTCTAGTTGGAGACGTTCAGTTTAGAGCCCATCGCGCAGTGCTTGCTTCATGCAGCATGTACTTCCATCTATTCTACAGGGACCAGCTGGACAAAAGAGACATTGTGCATTTGAACAGTGACATTGTCACAGCTCCTGCCTTTGGCCTGCTTCTGGAATTCATGTATGAGGGAAAACTTCAGTTTAATAGTCTACCAGTGGAAGATGTGTTAGCTGCAGCCAGCTACCTTCACATGTACAATATTGTGAAAGTTTGTAAAGGAAGATTGAAAGATAAAGAACAATGCGCAGATGATAGAATGAATGGTAATGCACTTGGATCTGTGAAAGAAGAGAGTTCTTCAGAAAACGATGAGCCAATAGCACATTGTGACACACCAATCAAGAAAAGTTGTACTGTTGCAGATAATAAACCCACAAGCAGTGAAAAGGTTAATGGACATTGTGGAGGCTTTTCTGACCTTGTAGGTATCAATCCTGTATCTACAGAACCAGAACCAGAATTATGCAATGCAGCAGCTGGAAAAACAAAGTCCACCGTCAGTAGTTCCACAGAACCTTTGTCTCAGACAGCTATTGACCATATCAAGGCCCCAGCTGATGTGGACTGTGCTCTAGATCTGTCTTTCAAGCCTGTGTCTGGAAGAGATTTATTTTACTCCTCCTATGTTTCTGGACAACTGGCCTCCAACAGCCAGCAGCAGGGCACCGTGCCACTTGTTGGAGATCAACAAGATTTGCTGTCAGACCAAGAGGACAGTGAAGAAATGGATCCAGCAAGTCAGAGTGGGAATTCTGCCAGTAGTATGCTGACAGGATTTGGTCCTGTGTTTTCAGGGAATGGTGTGACACATACTGTAGGAGGAGAGCACGAAAGGGATGGGAGTGAGGATGATATGCCGTCATCTGATATTTCAAGCAAAAAGATGGTAATGTCGACAGGACATATTTTTATCTGTCCTCTCTGCAGCAAAGGCTTCCCAAGCCCACATGTTCTTCAGCTTCACCTGAGCACGCACTTCAAGGAAAAAGATGGCCCTCGAGCCAAAATGCCTCCTGATGGCTCCATGCCCACCTGCTCACAGTGTGGGAAAACCTTTTCCTGCATGTACACGCTAAAACGTCATGAACGAACTCACTCAGGTGAAAAGCCCTACACCTGCGGTCAATGTGGAAAGAGCTTCCAGTACTCTCATAATCTCAGCCGTCACACAGTTGTGCACACCAGGGAGAAACCACATGCCTGCAAATGGTGTGAAAGACGATTTACTCAGTCGGGTGACCTGTACAGGCACATACGCAAATTCCACTGTGGTCTTGTAAAGAATATTGCTGTTAGATAATACTTAGCATCAAATTTGAATATCTTAAAGTTAATATTCATATCTGGAAACCTTGCACGGTTTAGGCTACAAGTGTAAAGAAAAATTCCACTGCATTGCTTTCTTGCATAAAATGTGAGAAAAGAGATCTGCTTTCAATATTTTCTTAAAAATCTGTTGAAGTTGCAGTATTTCATAGGAAACAATGTTGTAAAATTTGAACTATTTTCTTTTCATTTCAAGAAGATCCAAATGTATTCACTAGAGGAGTGTCCCATTTCTTTTCAGTCTGAAAGATTTAATAATCTCAGTTCCTAAAGTTTGCTTTTACTATGTTTCTCCTCTTCCTTACCAGCCTCGGATTTGACATTGCACAAATATGGCACCTTCCAGGGGGTATGATTTAAATGAAAATTCCTGCTAAATCATTAGTGAGTCATCAAAATAGTAACCATTATTTAAAAATCAATAAGCAACTGATTAATCGAGTATCCTGAATTTTACTGTTTAAGAATTTGCTAGCACAATAATGCTGATGCTGGCAAATGTTAAATTGTTTGTTTGGTCTGTTAATATCTAAGCAAACACTCTTACTCCTTCAAAAATACAGTTTTAGCTGTACATAGATACACTTGATATGACATTTCACCTAGCAACATGACCCAATACCATTCTGAATGAGAGGTAAATTAACTGTTTTGAAATGCAGTACTGCAGCTTTAACCTATGAATGTTGAATATGTGGTCTTACCTTCTGGAGAAATTCAGTTATGAATTTTTGTTGTTTGCTGTGATTGGAATATAGCACTAAGAACAACTACTAAATGTTATTTCTTTCTCCTGATGAAACTTGATACTGTATTTATAGCATTTTGATCGTTTGGGGTGTAGTGAATTTTCTGTTGTTTAAAGGCTGAATTTAGGAAATTAAAGTTTGAACTGTTTCATAGAACTTTAATTTTCTATTAATATAAAAGTTTATTTTGATGCCACAAATGGGCAATTATATGAAAATTTGAGTTCTATGTCAAAAGATTCAAAAAATAACAAATTACTACTGATTTTATTGAGTTTTCTTATTTAACGGCATAAATGTGTGTCCTTTGAAGAATTATGGTGTTTATTATTGTTAATGGGAATTTTTTTCAGTAATGAGTTCCCTGATCATTATTGGGTATTACTGATTCATACTGGAACAAAAATTGTTTAGAAGTAAAATGTGAAATTCAATTTCTTTGAAAATTTTAAGATCAAAAACCACTCGTTTTAATGTATATTTTAAAAGTTGTATTGCACACTTGGAAAATATTTATGTTGCACTCTGGGGTTTTCTTGGGGTTTTGTTAAATTCAATTTACCGTAACTGCTTAATAAGCAACTTCAAGGAAAATTTTAAAAACTGGAGACTAGTCATCTAACATAAAATATAAAACAGGTAAGGTCTGTAAAATGTTTTGTATAATCAAACAAAAAAACACTTATTTATAGCTTTTTGTGGTCTTTACGAAGTTGCTGTGTATAATTCCTATCCTTGAAATTTATTAATGGAGAGTTTTATAGTAAGAATGTAGCAGAGCCCTTAGAATGAAGTCTAATTTTTTTTTTTACAAAACTTTTATTGCATTTTTTTAATAATAAAATGTTTCCTGGTCTGCATTTTAACAATAGTGTTCTGTACGGTCTATAGAAGACAATCAGAAAGTGAAGGGTGTTTTTTTCATTAAACCTGTAGCGCTTAATCAGCAAGATGTCTTTTAATTTTTTTGCCCTGTTTGTGTTGTAAAACTGTGACAATCGTGACTAGGTTCTTAGTTTTAGCAAAATTTTTTAAAAATTAAGTATATTGAGATTCCTAACTTGTTTTTGCTCATGGCAAAGTCTAAATGCCTGTATATTTTGTGAAGACGTGCCTTTTATATATTACCTCATTCAATGGATTGAATACCTAGTGCACGATTGCAACTTGTTCAGAAAATTGAACAACTCCTATTAAAAGAACTGACATTGACCTGTGTGTGTTTTTTTTTTAAATTATGGAAAATAAGCTAATTACTTTGAATGTAGGATGTTACAGATGAAAAGTTGAAGTTCTCAAACCCCCATTATGATCTTATACAGTTTTAAATTCATTTTATTCAATGTCTTGCTGGATAATTCATTGTAAAAATTTAAGTTTCAGGGTTATGAGTTTGTTTCTCAATCTTTTGGTGTTTTTTAAATCTCTATAGAATAAACATAGGCTGTTTCACTATTAATAAGCCTTCTTGTTCTGCATGTGTGAAACATCTGTAATAGTTAAATGTGCTTCCATGCTTGCAAGTGATATGGCAATGCTCCTCCACTTACCGTAATAATACGGTGCTACCAGGACACATTGTTTGTATTCCTTTTAAAGTCCATTTGGAAGTTAATTTGCTACATTCACATGTATGCAATTAGTTTTTGGGTTTTTTTTTTGAAAAAACACAATTTACAAAATTGCTTTTGGAGCTTCATAAAAATTATTTTGGTTTGCTGTCTAATAGTCATTCTTCTAGTAAATCTAATTTTGTTAGAGGTCTCTTCAGGAGTTGTACAAGCAATACTCATTGAACATACTAACATCATCAAATTTAATGCTTTTGCATGTTATATGCTGAACTGCTTTCTTGTTAATCCTACATTGTTGTATCTGACATATTGAAGGATGGTAATGACCTTTATTATCAAAAAATTCAGTTTGAGTTATGTAAATGCTAGAACCATTTATTAATGGCCATTTCTTATCATCACTCATGGCACAAATAACCTTTTTGAATTGAATTTACTAGATAGGCCACAAAACAAATTCATGCAGACTTTTTTCTATAAAATTAATTTGATTGGAGATTGGAATCAAATATTACAGTGGAATTTGCAACTTCTGCTGTCATTGGCATCTTTAATGAGAAGCAAGTTGATAGAGGTTATTGTGGATTAATATGCAACATGAAGTACTTTTAATTGCAGGTGCAAGAACTGTTTTGGGGTGTGGGTTGGAGCCACAAAGGCTATTTTCCATCTTACAAGTTAAGCTACCATGTTGACAATTTCTAATTCATCTACTGGTTCTATAAAAATGCAACCTAAAGTAAATAATACTACTCTTTGGCATTAACCTAGCCAATATAAGTGAACACATTTGCATTTACCTAGCACCTTTTAACTGATTATTTCAAAGTAGTTAATTGAAGTACTTTGGAATTGCAGTCACTGTAATCTTCTGCAACCAGTTTACACACTCAATGCTCTCCAAACAGTAACAAGATAAGTGACTGGATAATCTGTTTCAGTGATACTGGTTTGAGGAATAAATGTTGGGCAGGGCGTCAGGAGAATTCCCCTGATGTTTGAAGGCGGGAAGAGTCTTTGTTTAATATCTCATCTGAAGGTTGACATTCCTAGCAACACAATAGCACCTGTGCTAATTGCAAGGCGAGAATGTGCGCTCATGTCTCTGGAGTGGTGTTTGCGCTGTTACTTCTGACTCTAGCTTCTGATATATTTCCTTAATATTAAATTAATCGTTAAATGTTAGTGTTCAAAATACTGGAAAATATAACTTTGTCATCTTTGTATCAAAGAATGACGTGTGGCCATTTGCTAATGTTTCCTCCTATCTTTGGATATGCATTTCCTAAATAGTCAACATGAAATTAAAAAGAACTTGGTTACTGCAAAACTTTATACTCTTGAAGCCAGAGTACTTTGCACCAATGTGTTAAACTAGTGAGTTGATTTTACTCTACTTCTCAGCACATTGCAATATGTTACATCCTGAATTATTCGATGAGTTGGATTTCTGAAAGGTAATGTTACTGAGTTACATTATTCTTAATGTTGTAGTAAAGGCCCTAATAAGTTGCTTGTTAGTTTTGGTCACTAGATTCACGTACCATTTTGTTAACAAGTGCAAAATTTTTTCCGTTCATCCAGCTCCAAACCTAGTTAGCTCAATTTTTATTGAATGATTTTAGAAAAAAGGACACTTTTTAAAAATTAATTTCATAACCTTGTGACCAGATTTCATATGTTAAATGTCGTCTTGTTTTTGACTGTGACTAATTAATTCAGCATTGAGAAATAGTAGTGTTTGGTATAGATATAACCTGTTTTCTGATGTGCTGGTATCTGCAACTTTTCATAGGGTTACTGTGTTCTAGGCCTTTAACAGAGAGACAACCTGTATGGTTTATGAAGAACATTAGGCTTGACTTGAAATATTAACTGTCTCTCCACAAATACTGTTGGACCCATTGAGTTTCTCTAGCATTTTCTGTGTGGTTACTATTGGATGTTATTAGTAGTTATGTACATTTTACATAATGCTTTGAATGTTATTCCTTAACTTTTATCAGTGTTTTTGTTCAGCATTCAAATTAGTATTAGTGATTTAACTTCAGATTATACAGTAACCTATTTTAGGCATAATTTATATATGGCTCAAACTGTTAACTTCATGCACTAATTGATTAGCAACATTTGAAATACATATTTAAGACATAATACATGAAAGGTCAATTGTGATTTTTGTCACTTGTTCAACAGCTCATAGCCTACTTCCATGCTGTAGGGATTCTAGTTGGCCCATCAAATCCACACCGACCCTCCTGAAGAGCGTCCCACCCACTTCTAAATATGATTGGAATCAATTATGTATAATACTTCAGAATTGTCACCGAGTGCTAAAATAAGTCGATTCTGATATAAACTGGATACCTCAGCTGTGTATATGCATTTATGTTTCTGGGTTCTTTATAACTTTCCAATATGCCATTCTATGTTCTGCATCTGCTAGCTTTTTCAATTCAGAAAGCAATTTTGGTTCTCATAATCCTTTCATAAATTTGCTCATTAATCTTAGAACAAAGGTCTTTTTCAGTATTCGGCTTTCCTGTAGACACAAGAGAATAACATCTCGGGTGGTGGGGAGATGCGGAAGCAAAGAAGTGAACATCTTTGGTGTTTCAGAATGGTATTCATGGTTGTCTTGGAGACAGCCATGGCAAGTGAGCACAATTTGAAGGAAAAGGTAAGAAAGATTAGTCGGAAAGAAACCTCTAAAGATTTAGAAATGATTAAAATTGGTAAATGTGAAAGTGATTTACAGAAATACCTTTAAAGTGTTTGTGACCATTTCTGGTATATTTAGGTTGTAATCTCGCTGGCCTATATTTAACACTGGTGTAATACCACCACCTAGTGGTAATGCTTAAATCCAACCTTTTTAATGCAACATAAGGTAAGGATAACAATTGTTATCTTATTTTAATAAGTTAGTATGCTGTATCATTTGTGCTTTTAAGACTGTGGTATTTACAGTCTCTAGTAATGAAACACAATACTCAAAGTTAAATTACTTCACCATAAGGTCTCAATTTTCTCAATACAGCTTTTCATTTGATCTGTATTTCAAGTAAATATTACAAATGTTTGCTAAAGAAACTTGAACTTTCAAAAAAAACTTTCAGCACATTAGTACGCTTGATCTTAATCTGCAATGTGAACTAATGAAAATCTTCTATTGATTTCTACTTTAGTGCTAATCAACCTTTAATATCAAAGTGGCTCAATTGGAAATTTAATTCCAGCTTTGCCTTTAATATTAGAATCACTGTTCTCAAATTGTATCCTGAATTTTCTTTCTTCCTGTTAATTTTTTTAAGAAACATTTAGCTGACTCAGAGCTTCTATTTTTTTTAAAAAAAAGCAGTGAATGTTTTCATGACAACTAGTAAAGTTACCTTTGACTGTTTCTTAAATTCTGAATGCATAATTACTATGCCTTCTGTCAGACAAGAGGGGTCCACTGGTTTTACCAGTGTTCTGTTATACCTTCTACAAAACCCATGATATCAATTTTCTTTTGATGTTACTAGTGATGTACAACTTGTGCATACAACCACCAAACAGGAAAAAAGAACACCCAAGAAATAATTCCCAGAAGCATAATCTGAAAAAATCAGCTCCCACGTAATCAAAAAACAGAATTAGTTGTTAAAGTGGATGCTTTTTGACCAGTCAAGGCCATACTGTCTCTCTACAAGAGCAATTTGCCCATCCTACTCCCCTGTCTTTTTCCTGCAGCCTTTCGAATATTTCACCTCCAATACTTGCCCAAATCCTTTTTAGAAAGCTTCAACTGAATTTGCCTCCACTCTCTTCGATAGCGCCTTCCATATTCTAACTGTAGATATTGTAAAAACTATTACATCTAACAAATGTCCTTTTTCTGCTTTTTCACCTTCATTAAGTTCTGATTTTGTTTGCCCTACTTTTGCTTCATGGGAATGTCTCTTGACCGGAACGGAACCATTATCTCTTTTAAAACAGCCCATTTTCTTTTGGGTGGCAATGTTTTCAATGAGTTTTGTTTTGTGAGGTGACCAAAAGCTTTGTTACAAATGTGGGTGCTGAAAGTCATAAAGGAGGGGAGAATGGTGGCGAACCTTAGAATTTCTGAGTCTGTAGGTTTATGTCTCGGCTAGTATTAAGTATTCGTTTAAAAGCCAAGCTCATAAAATCATCATTGTATCATAGTATGTGACATGAAGGTACAGAAGTCTCAGGCACACTTTAACTAGGGCCACTTGAAGCACAATAAATTGATAGAAATGTGTTAGTTTTTGTAACCAATTAGTTTCATCTTGACTCACTGAAATCGTTGTGACTGCAGTATATAAATATACTAGGAGCTGTAATAAATACATTTCCCCTTAAGAGCTAGACACGAGTAGATTTACGTCATGGGAGGTAACGTAAGTATTACCTCATCAGGTACAACTACCCTGCTAGAGGGGAAAAAAGCCTATGTGGTGGCAAAATATGATGGCAGCTCAACTATGGGCAGCAGTGGCCACTTAAGAGTACAAGTTCACAGTGGCAGACGCTTTGAAACTTTATTGAAGATTAACTAGATGCCAGTTCTGGACTTAATAGTTTCTGAAAACAGCATTAATTTGAGTAGAGAGCTACAGATTAAAAGTGGCA